GAACAAAATCAGGAGTTGTGCTACTTATCTGGAGACTGAAAGACAAGATGGGCTGCAGAGATAAGTACCTGATCACTACAAATTTTTCACACATTGTTAAATGTATACTGGTAGGGATGGGGAAACTGTAGAATTTGAGATATTATGGGACTCCTACTCCTATTTTGAGAACAAAATTAAATCAATCATATATTTATCAATAATCAAACAATGTGTTAGACCTGATATAAAAAGCAACTGTTAATCTATTTAGAGAGGACCTCTGTCTTAGCAAACGTGTGGTATTGACAGTAAAATGTAAACAAGAATGTGGGTTGACATTGGAAAATGAACTGTTAAAGGATGGAGCTGGCTAAATAGCTCACCGGTTTAGGTGACTGGCTGTGGAACCAGAAGTTGGAAGTTCAACTCCTCACTGTGCTGCCTGTGAGTACAGCTAGCCTGGGTGGCCTTGGGCAAGCTGCTCAGTCCCAGAGCTGCCCCCAGAAGAAGGGAATGGCAAACCACTTATGAATATTCTCTACCTGAAAACTCTGAAAAGGGTTGCCATAAGTCAGAATTGACTTGACAGCACATGATGATGATGATGATGATGATGATGATGATTAAAGGATGGGCAAGGGGAGAAATTGCAGGACGCATACTAGCAACAGTGTTATTTTAGGACAAAAGCAAACTATATAATCTGCCTGTATCTGTATGCTTGGTGCCTTATCCTTTTGAGAACATTACACATTTCAAAGTGCTTTGAGCCATCCATGCATGGTCTTCAATAAGTAATAAAGGAAACCTGTTGGAGAACAGCTTTGTTATAGATACTCTAGAAAATTGTCTAACATGATCAGCCTCCACTAGCATGGACACTGGCAAGAAATGATGGCTGTAGTTCATTGTCATCTTTTTATTTACAGCTAACAGGCCATTATAAGTGGACGCAGTAGCTCAGCAATGTCTGGAGGGATACAGTTGCTCCCTCCCTTTACGGTACCATCTAGGTGGAGGGTTCCCAGCAACGTAGCACAGATAAAAGGAGAAAGGTTTCTGCCCTTAAAGGCACTAGCAGGCTAGATCAGGACTGTGAGGGAAACAACAAAGCCAGAAGGGAAGGTTTGCACGAAAAGGGAATTTGTGTGCCAAACATTTCCCAGGGCTAAAAGATAATCAGGCATGTATGAGAGATGACACCGGGCTAGAAGAATCCTTAACATCCCGCCTGCTGAATCCATCCTCTGTTCTAAAAGAAAATTACTACAATATGTTTTAAACAACTCTAATGCCCTCCCCTTTCATCTGATGCATATTTAGCACAAAGACATTCCTTAGGGATAGTAGAAAGGGTATTGTGATTGGCTACTCAGGCTTAAATGATTGATGATATTAGGCTATATTTAGGCCACAGTGTTTTAGTGCCTTCCGGATTGTATGTGTTTTATTTTTTATGAATTCCATCAGCTTTTCAATTTTAGAATAGCCTCTGTTTCCACAGACAGGTAGAGCTGGCTCCAAAGACAGTGACTGCTTTTGTGCTGCCATAATGTCTCCCGCATCCCAGTTTATTTGATCCTGAAATCAGGCAAAATGATCCCCTTTCCTTCCCCAGGAATGAAGGTAACAAAGGCCGCAGCCCCCAGGCCCTGAAAATTTAGGATTAAGCGCTGGCATTTTTTGAGCAACGGGAGAAAAATATCAAGGAAGCAGGAGAAAAATCTCTCTTTTTGCAAACAGAAATATATAAACAAATTTAGAGATTGACACTAACTTGGAGAATCAGAGAAGGAATGAAGAGTTATTAAACAGACAGTTTCCTTTCCCCTATGGAAGTTACTAAAAGCTAAAGCAGGTATGAAGAAGAGTCTAAAGTAGTAAGCGATGGATGGGATGAAAAAACGCTCCACTCAGGCTTGATGAGTAAACTTTCCCCCATCTGTTAATTTAGTCAGATTAGTTTGGAAATTAGCAGAGTTGTTTTCAAATGATACGAACTACTGTTTCTTTCTTTTTCCCCCCAAAACAACATCTACCAAGCTCTCTACAATTTCTTGGACTGGCTTTTCCTATCTCCCTCCTTCTCTCTATCTTGTTTTAAATTCAGTCCAAGTAGCAATATATAGTGGTGGTGGTGACAGTGGTAGTGAAGAAGGCGGCATAATGGTTCTCAAGAGCAGCTGGGCAAATGAAGACAATCAGTCTTTCTGCTTTGCTTTTATGATGCAATATGTGCAGCAAACTTTCTGAAAGGATACAAACAGACCTTTAAGGCAGAATGAATATCTGCTTCTTCTCTTCTCTTTTATTTTCACTTTAGCTGAGATAAATGTATGATCGCCACTGTTTAGTTTCTTGTGTGTGTGAAACACGACTTCCAGACTTTTTTCCCACAAATCCAGACCAGCTACTTTTCTTTTAATGTCTATTTGAAATATGAAGATAAAAAACATTGGCCCACCAAAAATGGTTGTTTCAGGGAGTGGTTTGGAATGTGCTTTATGCAAGCCAAACTTAGGAACAGATGATTCCTTGCACCAAAGCGTTACAGATGCAGCTCTGTAGTTTTTAGGTCTTTAGGAAGGTTTTCATTTCTTTAGAAAATAAAAGACATTATGTGGAGTGATATTGCGTAAGAAACAATCTTCAATTTAAGGAAAGGATATCTAAGCAATACAGGTTTGCTTATTTATGTACTGAGAGACGCACATGCACACACCCCAGTGCCACACCTCCAGTGTGACTTTATGCATTAAAATCCATGGAAACAAGAACCTTGTAAAAACTAGTTTAACAGGAAAGAGAAGGATGGGATTGCGGAGAAGTACAGGGGTCTAATGCAAACTTTTCTTCTGTCTGGGCAGGACAACATCACCAGCCTCTCTTGAGGCATGCCTGGCTCACAGCTTCTGCGCTGCTCGCCTTGTCCTTTATCTCCACATTTGTCATGGTCACGGCCTATGAGGGAAGCTCTTTCCCAGTTTGGACATGGAGTGGGTGGAAGCAAGATTTTCAACTAGGTTCAAATAAAGGCCTGCTCTTGGTACCCCCTCCCACACAAGTGACTTTTAGAAGTCCTTATTATGATTAGTAAGCAGTACTTGATAACAGCAAGAGATATAGACTCTCCTGAGGTGAAATTACAGGTGATCTGAAAGGCAAGCATGCTGTCCTTAAAAGACTACTTATGCCCTTTTGTGTACGTTTTGTGAAGACAGGCTGCTGTCTTCTCTTGTTGTCTTTTTACACCCGTATGATCTTCTCCTGTTGACTCTGTGGGTCTTCCAGCACAGTCAGTGTTTATTTTTTTGGTGAATCCAGGTAAATTGGCTGGATTTATGGTGAATCCAGGTTTACATTCAACCTTTCATCCAACAAGCTTAAGGGCAAGGTATATGATAGCAATCTTGCGAGGTATGTTTGGCAGAAAGAGATAGCCCAAGGTCAGCCAATGAATTTGGGTGTGTGTATGTGAGAAAGAGTTGGATCTGCTGTCTCCCAAGTCCATCCCTGACACTGTATCCACAGACTTCCTGAATACAGACAAAAAATCCTGCATTCTTTCACCAGATAGCTTTACTTCTGACTGTTGTCATGCATCTAAACTAAACCAAATCAGGATTTTTTTTCCACCTTACTACAAGTGTCAGTTGCAGCTAAATATTGAAAGAGGGAGGAGGAAGTGCCATGTCTGCAATCCTTAATCAGACACTGAGCCGCTAAAGTCTAAAAAACTCTCCTAGTTCAACGTGGGCGAGGTGTCAGTCTTTCCCAAGTACTAAATCAAGCTGTAGCTACAGAATTTATCTATCTTTCCTGGGTCTAAAAAGCCTGAGTGGTCTTCAGTTGTGCTTCTTCCAGAAAATATTCAGGATGCTCTTCCAGTTCCTCTCCTAACATCATACTTTTCCATCGATACTTTGCATTAGAAAGCTCTTAAATATTATAGAACAAACTGTGCAAACGAACAGCAGCAGACACAAACTGCTGCAATTATCTTTTCCTGTCCATAGGCTATCAGCAAATTCAATACTGATCAGTAAATTAAACCACATGTTTAGTTTGTAAGTGAAATTTAGCCCTGAGCTTCTCCCCTTAGCCAGAGATTTGACTGCAATCATGTTGCATACAGGTATGGAGGATGGAATCCTCACAGAGATTAACTAGAGTGCCTTCTCTCCAAACTTTCATTAGCTCTCTTTCATCAAAGGATATGGCAGGAACCCAGTATTCACCCATTCCACTAAACTATTAAGCCAATAGTCAGACCACAGAATGAGATAAGAGCAATTTTGAACCGGCTGCTGTTCCTTTCAACAAGATTTACTGGCATGCATCATATATGAGCAGCAAATAGTCTTAATGGACAAATAGATCCAGAAGGGAAGGTAGCAGAACACTTCTGTAGCTAGGAAGCTGAGAATAATTGGCATTCTTTTCCAATTTGATTGCCTGCAAGTTTGCTTAGCTTCCCCCCCATACTGAAAAAAAATCTCCCTTTTAAACTTTATGCTGTAATATTTATATGCTGCAATGACAGGAGACACAAGGAAGAAAAGTGCATATCTTCCCTGGCTGTGTATAAGAGAATGAAGAAACAACAGAAATATAGCCCCGACTAGTCTATTTTCATCAGCATAACCAGGGCAAGATTGTTTTGAATAAAAATCATGCAAATGAAAGAGGAGAGTGGAGCAAAGGAAAGAAGACAATCTTAAATATGTTAATATTTGCATGCAACAATTGCACTATAAAGAAACACAGTATTCTAAAACCTTCTTCTCTTGCAGCTGATCTGCAAAGGTTCTTTCCAAATGTCCTGCAGCTGTGCAGCCTAGTTTGCAACATGCATTAATTAAGTACTGAGGTGGGGGAGGTTTAGTGCTTCAGCAGAGGCATCAGTTAAGTTAAAATCGGAGCCTTCATGATGTCTTTGGAAAACAAAATAGAGACAATCCCTCCCCATCCCAAATGAAGGCTTTGGAGAGAGAAAAAAGAGAGAGAAAGTTACTTACTAGAGTATTAGCAGTAGAGAGCCTGGTGGTATTGAGTCCTACCAGGGATGGGAGCGTTTGGGACATCCAGTTTGAGATCATAGCCATGGTACTGAGGACAGCACCAAGCTTGAGCAGAGGAGGACTCATTGCTGTGGAGGCTAATGAGTTTTCATAGTGACTGATTATCATCCTAGTGCAAGGCTGGCAGGGAGAGAGGCGTGCCTGCAGCTCATACAACATCCACAGCATGAAAGGGGATCAGCCTCCCCAGATTTAATCATCCACTAAACTCACATTCAGGCAGCCTCCATCTCCCCACCCCTCCCTCCCACCCGGTGCAGCTTCTCATCTTCTTTCTTACAGCTGCCTGCTAAAGTAGCCTGGACATACAATCCTTTTATATGCTTGTAATTATTACTGCTTTTTCTGTGGAGGAAAAGGGAGGGGGAAAGGGGGGAGGAAGGAGGGGAGAGAAAGAGAATTAAAGGTTTGGAGGCATCAGGGAAAATCTTGTTAGCTCAACCAGTGGGAGACAACCTGATAGCTAATGAAGCATTATCCCTAGGAACAGGCAAAGCAAAGCTAACCTGCTGCATTTAGCTGGCTGACAGCAGACAGACAACAGAGGCTCTTCTCCACTGTGGACTACAGAGCAGACTGTGAACTTATCAAATCTGCCACTGTCAGAAGCTGGTTCGGATGCTTGCCCACACAGATATTGTGTAATCATCAAAGGGCATGGTCCTGTGCATGCTTGGGAGCAAGGTGATCAAATTCCATGGGACATTTCAGACTAAACAATAAGAGGATCAGGCTGCCAACTGCCTTAGGCAACAACTGTAGATTCAATACATTCTACAATCCATAAGTGAATGGAGGGGAAAGAACATTTAAAGTCATGTATTTATATACCTAGGCATACTGAAGCACAAACAATGGGCAGATTCCAGTACTTATGCTTTAAATACAGGAAGGAAATATATGTGCTAATATGAAAAAGTGATCCAATATCATATAGTAGATAGAGTGATGGTCTAGGAATCGGAAGACCTGGTTCAGACTCCAACTGAGCCATGGAAATTTACAGGAGTGGTGAGGAAAATGCTAAAACCAATTCTCAAATATCTAGCATTCCTTGAAAACTCTATTCATTAGGCATCCTTCAGTCTCGAAAGACTATGGTAAAGTGCTCTGTATGGAGGACTTGGAACAGTGTCTAGTGTGGCTGAGAAGGCCAGTTCGAGAGTGACAATCCCTTCCACACTGAAGACAGATACAATCTGTCCCCTGTCCAGCTCCCTGATTTTGCTGCTTTCATAACTCTATTAGGGATGCTGTAAGTCTGATGCAATTTAACAGCATGTAACCCATACAGTTATATAGTTGGGAATTTACAAACTAGCACAAGTTATTTTTTTAAATACAGCTCTTTGGTATACAAAAGACATGTTATCATCATCAACAATACATGTAAAACCTTGATTCTTGCAGAGCTTGGGAAAGATAATGATTGTGCTAGCTAGAAGAGTTTCATCTGTTATCCTTGAAAGTAACTTTCCCAAACTGTGGACCTATAATGTAGCAATTTACTGTATTCTGAAAAAGTTCACAGGGAGCAAACTAAGGACCTACAGGTACAGGAGAATAAAGTAATTTGTTATTCTTGAAGGTGCTACATGACCAGTCATTCCTTTCACTCTATTAGGAATAAGGAACTCTTGAAATGAATGCTCACCTGAGGCCATCTGAGTATCTAGGGCTCTGCCTTCCTAGCTGCTTTTAAGAAGGAAACAAGATGCTGAAGCTCTATATTTTTAGCATATCTGCATTCTGACACACCAACCCTTACTCTGCTCTGTTTCTTTTGTATCCCAGAAGATTATCACCACATGAAAGGATGGGATAATCACTCCAAAAAGGGATTATTAACCAGCAGCATGTATTGGCCCTGAGGCTTGACTCTTAAGCACCTTTAACTGGAGATAAGTTTCATTTTAATCACAGTTTGCAATTCAAGTAACTTTTGGTATTTTCCATAGTCCTCTGAATAGGAAATAAAACCTCTGCCTTTGGGTGCAATCATTATAGTAAATGTTGCATCTTGTCTCTTTAATCAGAAGACTCAGCATGGGAAGATCATGCCATTGAACTAAAAAGGAGTTTACTTTTTGCAGCAGAAAGCTTTTTGCCTGGGTTATCTTTCTAAGGCGGACAGAACAGTATCAGAATAAAGTCACTGGAGACCTTGAGCCCGAGGTCAAAATGTTTTCTAAAGGAACTCATTCTGTTACACACTACTTTGGATAAGCAGGCAATCATCACAGTTATTGTTACCTACTCTGCACAAGTAACTTGTTCTGTTCCTGATTATTAATACATGGGGTTACTGCTGGAGGTGTAGCCATTGGAAAATAAATAAAAGGGCTTGCCAGTGTCCTCACATGGCTGATTCTATTTACTGCACATCAAAAATACTGTGAAAAACACATTACAAAACAAAGCTTCCCTTGGCACTTTTTCCTCAGACACCTTGAATGATAACCTTCTCTAGACAAAATCGAGTTGGAGGCGAGATGAGATTTCTACTCCAACACATCAGAAAAGTGCTGGGTTGGCTGGAATTCTAGAGAAAGGCATTTTTCTGAGTATTAATGTAGTGAACAAATCGAACTGTTAAAACAACATGCTTTTCCTTAGAACTCCATTCACCTGGTACTCTCCAGAGTATATTTGACAAGATGAGTGTTAAGAAGTAAAAAATTAAATCCAAGTTGGTTTGGCTGGAAGAAATCTAAGTGAAGCTTCCATGGCCAGAGGCAGTATATCTCTGAGTTCCAGATATGTAAGTCGTGTTTACACAAACAGTGTGGGAGGGCCTTGCTCACTATGGATTTTCTCAATATACTGTTACCCAACGGTGCACGAGTCACAGCCTCTAAAGATTGGCATGAAGCATTTTTATAGGTTTTGCTATTTCACCTGTCCCGAAGTTGGCTTCTGAAAGCCACCACTGGTGACTGGTAGCCTCCAGCACTCTCACTCCATTTCTTTTCCCCTTGTGTCTTTTCCATCCCTCCTCTTGCCTTTCCCAATGCCAGAACAATTAGCTGGGTGGAAGGGAGAGCGGAAATGAACAGCTGCTTCGGTATGCTGGCACACATTCACCCAACATACCAGCTTTCCAGATAAGAAGAGGAGCACTGCCCCAGTCACTTGTGACTCCCTGCTGGCGAGTGTCCTGCAACACACCTTGGAGGGAAGGGATTGTGGGGGGGGGGTAGGGAGAAGAGAAGGCAATGGCAGCTTTCCCCCTTGAACCATCACTTGCCTGCCTGCTTGTGTCATGCATATGACTGCAGGGGTTGCAGCTTTTTTTCAAAGGAGGAGAGTATAAACATGGTGATGGTGAGGGTCAGGGGAATCATCTCATTACCACATCTCTCTCTCTCTCTTGCTTTATTTCCCTCCTCTTTTCTTCTCCCTTTCTCTTGTACACATCAATTCGTAGTCTCTCTCTCTCTCCCTCAGGGAGGCTATGCTGCCTCTTTCAGGAGACAGGGCAAATGTGCAGGGGAGAGAGTCTCGGGAAACTCACTCTCGTCCCCATGTCACTCCCTCTTCTCTCTCTCTTGTAGCCAATCCCTGTGAGAGGATGTGGGTTGACATTCCCATGCCTTGGTCCGACCAGTGCTGGACTTTTCCCTTCTTAGTTCCCCACTCCCTAAAGCTCTGCCTCCAGAAGGAAAGGCAGTGGGGAGGTAGCAGTCCAAAAGAAACCACCCATGTGACTCTTCTCCCTTGCCTTTCGTTGCTCACGGCACCCCCTTCCAAGCAATGAGTAACAAGCAGACATTCCTAACCTTCCACTGAAGGACCACAAGGCGCAGCTGTTACAGACCAGGAAGTAAGGTGGCTTCGGCTCATTACTGCAAAGTGGAACTTGATTCTAGCTCTGCCTTGGGCAAATCCTTTTCTTTCAGCTTAACGTGTTGCAGCAGGGTTGCTGTGGAACAAAACGAGGAAGAGAAGCTGTGCACGAAATCCCAACAGTTTTGGACCTACATGGGCGGGCAAGTAACTGATGGCAGTTCTCAGTCAAGAGGTAGATGCTTCTCTTCCTGCAGTCCAAGATTTTTCTGCCCTGTGACTTGTACTAAATTCATTTCGGGAAGACATCTGGTATGTGCTACTTACTATACTCGCATATGAGTGACCATGGGCAACACACACAGCAGTTCTTAGCCCATGAACCCGAGAAGAAGAACGTTGCCAGATCAGCTCAAAGCCTTATCTAGTTGAGTGTTCTGCAATTGCCCACACAATTGGGAGCCCTCGCAAACCTCTAAAATGCCTCTCCAACTGAGTCCAAAGATATCAATCCCATCTGGTAAGGCTCAGCATATCAGGATAACCACTTAGATAATGCTTATGATGCATATCTGAATCTACATTAGCAACATGTGGGGAGTTATATATGCAGATCTCTCTTGCTGTAGAAGGCTATTTCTGCCATTTTACCTGAATACACCCCCTTTATATGATTTGGGATTTGGATTCAGGATAAAGCCCGGTTAATACTATGAAGGAACCCCTAGCATCTCCATGGAGCATCCAGCCTAATGCCATGGAGAGTCCCTGCCAGTCACAGCTGATGCTACTGGGTTAAAGAAACCACCCTCCTGACTCAGAATAAGGTAGATTCCCTATGCGCAAGAGCCATTGAATCAAGGACATGTTATGGAGGTGGAAGTTTGGAGGCTACACATCACTGCAAATATAGGAACATTAACAAAGTTTGTGTGCATACGATCGTATATGTCAAATGTGCTATGTGCAATGTGAACATACATTGCACACAGCAGAAAGAATCTGCGGCTCAGGTATGCTATCTGTATCCTGAATTTGTACTCCAAATGCATAGTAAGTTCTTCTTTCATCAAAAGTATTTTAAGTCACTTCAATCAATCTCTCTGATTTAACCAAGGTGTATGGGGAAAAAAATCAATCCGTGCCCATTTCAAAAACACAGTGTGATCTGCTGTATAATTTTATGAGGGGCTCTGAGTTTTGCCTGCTTATAGACAAAAGAGCTCTCTTGTTTCTAAGTACTGAATTCTCTCCTGGAAATTCCAAGTGTAGTGGAAGATTATTTTTTGCTGAAAGGAGACAATTCCCTGAAGTAAAATTCTTGGGGAACATTAATACAGTAGCTAAATTTGAATCCACTAGATAAATAAAGAATTCAAAATTCTGTTTGAAAAGGGT